CCAGGGCCGCCGGGCGCTGACCGCCCCCAGGTGATCCCTGGACATGTGGAACTTGAGCCCCCTTCACTCTCCCTCCCTCCCTGCCTCCCTCCCTGCCTCCCTCCCCCCCTCCCTCCCTCCCTGGCCCCCGGCCCGACAGCAACCGAGATCCAGCTCTCCACACCTCACCCCGAACCGCTGCCGACCTTCACCGGCCGCCTCTCACCCCCTCCAGCAGTGGGACCCGCAGCAGCGGCCGAGGAGGCGGCCGCCACCACGGAGTTCATAACCCAGCTCTGAAGCCGCTGAGCCAGACCGCCACCACCCAGAGCACCACCGCCTGGAGGTAGGGGAGGGCGCATAGGGAGTTGTGGATGTCTGTCTGTCTGTCTGATGTATGTCAGGAGTCGCACACTGTCCGTGGGTCCCTATATCCGTCGCCTAATGGTCATCCAGCATGTGAAGACAGACAGACAGACAGACAAGAGCGAGAAGCAGCGGCAGTACTACTGCACGACGGGGATGCCCTTGGCGCTGGCAAACCCTCAGTCCCTCTCCCGCCTCCTCGCCCGCCGGCGCTTGTCTCTTTTAAACTTTGCACAACATCCCCTCCTCTATCCCCTTCCTTCCTCTCCTCCCCTCCCCCCCTCCTCTCCCCGCCCTCCCCCTCTCCCCCTCCCCGCCCCCCCTTCCCTTCCCCCTCCCCCTCCCCCCCTTCTCTCACCGTTCCTGCCGTTGACTCCATACCGGGTCCTCTGCGCCCCCGCCTGCAGGTCTCTGAGCCCCACCGCCTCCCTGGAGTCACGTGCCGCCAGCAGCGAGGCCTCATTCACCACATTGGCCAGCTCAGCACCCGAGAAGCCCTCCGTGACGGCGGCCACTGCGGCGCACGCGGTCGCCGGTTCGAGCCCCGGCTCCAGCGGTACTCCCCTCAGGTGCACTGCCAGGATCTGCGCCCGCCCCGTGACGTCCGGGAGGGGCACCACGACTTTGCGGGAGATGCGGCCCGGGCGGAGCAGCGCGGGGTCCAGGACGTCGATGCGGTTGGTGGCGGCCAGGAACAGCACCCCTGTAGGCGCCCGAATGTGTGTGGTTGTTACAGTGGTTACAGCCCGAATGTGGTGTTCAAAAAGGGTGGAGGGAGAAGATGGGGGGTAGTACGGGTTTATACAGGTAGAGGAGGAATATAACGCGTCCAAGATAGAGAAGACGAATCGAGAAAACCCCAACAAATTGCATTTTGTTGGGTTGGTTGGGGCCGGGTGGGGGAAGGGTGCATGACACGGGTGGTGTTGGACGGCCTGCCTGAAACCGAACCCCCAAGCATGTCCGAGTACGTGAAACATGAGATGAAGCCTTCAGCTCAAACCTCCTCACCCCCGGCCCTATCCTCCGACTCCATGACATCCGCCGTCAATAGAACCCCCCAACCCCTCTTCCGGAACACCCCCCTCCTTTACCTCCGGGACCCCCCCCCCGACCCCTACCTGGCCTTCCATCAAATCCGTCCAGCTCCGTGAGCAGCTGGTTGAGAGTCTGATCCCGCTCATCGTTGTATCCCATACCTCGCCTGCTGCCCACCCCGTCCAACTCGTCAATGAACACCTGGGGACATGCCCAGCCACCACCACCGCGAGGGGGGGGAGGGGGAGGGAA